GCTGAATGCACATGGCTTGCATTATATTCCCCATGTCACCCCCAGAGATCAGTTTTATGAGATGAGTTGTCTTATATCTGACATCTCAGCATATTTCATCATAACATGAGATTTGGGGGCATAAAGGTAAGCCAGCCTGCCACTCACTAATCCTACTCTGGCTCCTTGGGAGCCACTGCAAAGGTTTCCCTGTAGGAGAGGTACCATCATATATGCACAGGCCTGTAGCCAGCCATGAGGTCACCGAGGTTCGGACCTCGGTAAATTTTTCATGTTCAAAAATAAAATTTGTTCTGTGGATGGCTAGTTTGCTGTTTAAAACTCCTCATAGGAGTGTCTGCAAGTTTGCAAGAATGTTTAGCGCTCGTAGTATGAAAATGATCGCTGCGAGACTCAGGCGGAGTGAACGAGTCTTCTTGAGAGAGTTGTGAGTGAGGGCGTGGGCGCAGCCTCCGTGTTGCCAGATCCAACTATTATAAGCGTTTTTGGACTTGTCTTTTTCACTTAATTTGACACTTTAGAAAGTTAATCGAGTGGAAAGTTGCAGTTTAGAGTCAGTGATATCTTTATCTTATCTTATTTCCAAAGATTTGAAATAATTTCAGTTTAATTTTATTTATTTTTTGGTTTTTATTTGTTTTATAGCAATATCTGGCAACACTGCATCGCCTACACTTAAACTGACAGTAATCAAAAAAGCCCAAGGGTTATTGCTGACAGGATACCACATTTGGTAAGGCAAACGCAAAAAAAAAATCATGATATTATCTGTAAGAAACATTATCAACGCTGCCAAAAACAGCATTTAACACCAGTACACAGATCTGTAGAACAAGTAGGTTACAGAATTAAATGGAATAGCCTTCTCAAACACTAACAATGAAGAAGTCTATGCTATTTCATTCAGTAGCCTATAGTAGTTAAATTTTCAAAAAGTCATGCTAAAAACATTAATAAAAAGCACTAGACAAAGTTATCATCAATGATTATTAATGAAAACTATAGCAGTAATATGTATTGGTGCATGATTAATAAACAACTGATAAAATTATCCACCCCTAACCTAAAATACAAAAAAAAAATTGATGCAATAAATATGGTATCCCTCCAAAACAGAGAAAACATCTTTCACAAACATCTACATGTCTGTCCCTTTATAAGTGTTTATAGTGTAAATAATAAGTTGTATTTGTAGGGGTTATTGTAATAGAACAATTCTTAACCCCACCCCGGACCGCACTCATTTTCAAACACTGGCTACGGCCATGTATATGCATAAAACATGAGAAAACCTTAGAAAGCAACACCCCTGGCTGCTGGAATCAGGGTTTAGGCTTGCTTCAGGATAAATAAATTGACGTGAATCCCAAGTTCAGTGTTATACTCTATGGTTACTGTGTTTTGCATGCCTGTGGTAATATATGTGATTAATTAAGGATTATACAACAGTTCATTCAGGTCCATGAATTTAATATACAGTGCAACTGGATTTTTTTACTGTTTGTATCACTCTGTTTGTCTGTGTTTGTGCCTTCCAGACAATCTGTCAGTCTGTGTATTAGTGGTGGGGATATTTTAGTGACTCTTTCTGAAAGTTACATTGATTTGCCAGTAGGTGGCGACAGGTGGTGACTGTATTTATTAATGAGTTACTCAACTGATTAATTCAAGAGTGCTGATTAATTCAGGAACGGAAACAAATGACCATCTTTATGAATTAGTAATTGAACCATTTACTTAATTCAGTCAAAAGCGTAATTTTATTCAGACACAAAACAGTTCTTTAACAATACCCAATTGGCCTCTAACTTTGTTCTGAAATATTTCCATTGGTGAAGCAAAACTCCAAAAAGTAACTGCCGATATTGTGTTTAAACTATAATTTACTTAGTATTAACGTTTGTTTATTGAATTGTTGTACAAAAGCAATATTGCACTCACAGTTACATTGTCCCTGTGCACATACAAGAAGAATGACACAAACAGTTTGTCAAGTTAAATTACAAGACTTGAACTGTTTTCTGAGTGTCATCATTAGTATATAGTAACTGCACTAAGAGGATGTAGTTATGGCTTCCCAGAGGTGGTTATTTGTAATGGATGTCATGTTGTAAATGTACCCATAGATGAGACACTATGTGCTTCTGGCCTCTGGGTGATGGATATTGTGAGTCGCCATTGTTAATGGCGTCAAGTCCTCAGCTAGATGAATCATGGCCCGCAGTGATAGTTTGCCTTTATAATTCCGGTCCACACAGCCCGCATAAGGTGGATGAGGCAATCATCATTCTCTGGAGGATTCAGTATGACAGCCTCCAGAGAGCATATGCATACGCAAACACACTGCATAATTTTGTTTGTGTATGTGTGTGACTTTTAAATGAAGGCACCTATTTCAGTGACACATTCGCTGACTAGTCAGGCATAACCAGTGATTCACCAGCCTTGATCTCTTACGGATTGCCTCGCTGATGGGTAAACCATTGTTGGCTTTGACCTCGAGTCAAAATCAGAATCACGATAAACAAAAACATATTAAACTAAAAATGGAGAGAAATTTGATTAAAAATCAGCAACATTTATTGCTTTTGTTCCCTGTGTAATTTCTCCGCTTATAGTTCACCCAAAATATAAATTCTGTATTAATTTCCTTACCCTTGTCATTTCAAATCTGTATGACTTTCTTTATTCTGCGAGAGATGTAATAATTTAAAATGTATTAATTAATAAATGTAAATAAAAACATTTTCATTTATGTTTCATTTTATTTTTTTAACCATAATTACACTAATTCTAATGTATAGAGACCGTATGTGAGAGAGAAGGTTTGTAACATTTGTATGTTTAATGGAGGCAGATTATAAAATTAAACAAACAAACAAAAAAAAACTTTTTTTAACTACAATTGGCCATTTTTATTTTATTTTAATTTGTTTTGGACTCTATTTTGTCGATTTGTAACATTTGTATTTTTAATGGAGGCAGATAATAAATAAATAAATAAAACTAAAATTGATTTGTGGCAATCTTTATTTTATTTTAATTCCTTTTGGACTCGGTATATTTTAGTTTACTTTTCAATTGTTTCAATTAAGTTTATTTTTATTTCAAATAACAATAGTGGTTTCCCTTTAGTTTCAATTGTAGCTTTTTGATAACCATAATTACACTGATTCTAATTATCACATGTGCATGTTTAATGAAGACAGGTTATACAATTTAAAAAATATGATTATTTTTAATAACCCTAACCCTAAATCTGAAATTCATTTGTGGCCAATCTGATTTTAATTCATTTTGGAGTCAATAAAGCAATGTCTTTTATATTACTAAGCGAAGGCTATAGCTTCAGATGAATGGTGCTTGGCAGTGCTTGAAAGATGTGTTTCAGACCATCTGGACAGGTGAAGAGATGTGTGTTTCTGTTCATGAGCAGTCTAACATGCCTGCTGATCATTGGTTTTAAGCAGTTGCATCTTACTCAAAAAATTTTTTTAATATATATATATATATATATATATATAGCCTATATTATGTAAGGCATGTTAACTCCAAACTCTGCTTTCAAACATTTAAATTCTTAAACAAAAAAATAAGCTCTTAGGGACTATTAGAAACCTGTGCCTGATTGCCTTCTTTAAACCAGCTCTCCTCTATAAAATTTGAATGAGGAGTGTACTTGGAAAGAGAGTAGATTTGCTCTTGATAAGGCTTTCCTTTGGATAATTCACAAGGCCATTATAGTAGCACCGTCAGTGTAGCTGTGTGTAAGGAGGGGTGTGTGTGTGTGTGTGTGTGTGTGTGTGTGTGTACGTGTTTAAGAGAAGGGCGAAATGGAATGTTTGTGTTTGCCTGATGGCGAGTGATATTCACCAGCTGCTGCCTTAGTGCTTCATCCAATAAAATTAAGAAAGCAGCACACACACAGACACAAGTTAACAAGTTAAGGTTTAAAACAGAGTGTACAGACTTCCTTCTGCGCACATTATCAGTAATTGCAGTGTGTGTGTGTGTGTGTGTGTATGTTGTTCTGTTTCTAACTGCTGAGATTTCCGAAGAACCAATTAAATTTTCCTTTGTTTTGTGAAGAAGGCTCAGTGATTCATCCAAGCTAATAATTTTATCAGTAAAGTTAATAATTTGTGTATGTGTGTGAATATAAAATAGGTCTCGCCGACTAATAATTTTGTACAAGTATTCACATGTAGAAACACAGACTTCTGCCATATGCACAATAGGTCCATCATTTTGTTATAACTTCTGTTATTTGTCGTATTTATATATTTTTTTAAATCATGTTTATTGTAGTTATATTTATTACTTTACTCGTTTATAATATTCTGTGTGTGTGTGTATATATAAATGTTTTTAATGTGTGTGTGTGTGTGTGTGTGTGTGTCCCTATGTATACATCATAACACATTCCATGTTTCTGTCTACCAGGTGTATTATTATTTTTTTTTTTCTATTTATTATTTAAATGTAGCCAAAATTTATGGGGAAACGTGTGAGAGAACCCAAGTCTCTTCCTCTGGATTAGTGACCTTTCAAGCACTTTTAGTCACTTTACACTTCTTGAGTGTCTGTTACAGAGTTTAGATGTGCTGATTTCAGAGAAGAGCTGCATATTTTCAGATCCTTCTGTTCTTGTTGAAATTTTAGCTTTTGTCAGTTTAAGGTTTAATAGAAATATTGTGACATTTTGGCAAGTTTCCTTTCCATAAGATGAGCGATATCTTCTGTATCCCCGTACCAGATTTCGGTGAGAAAGGGAAAAGGTTGTTATCCTGTAGCTGTCATTTCCTGCTGTAATGAATGTCTAGCTGTCAAATGTGCCACTGTCTGTGTCTCTTTGTGCATGCTGTGATGTATGAGGCCTCTAGTTTTATGTCAAAGACTGTCTAAAAGCTTTATTTGATGCAAAGCCACAGTCTCGAGGGGGGTCTTTGTGAAAGTACATTCTCATACATTCAACCACATGTCTTTACTGCCCCCTGTAGGTGACCTTGTGTCCCGTGCCATGCATCACCTTCAGCCTCTGCACATCAAGAACCCCAGCAATGGAACGCCTGTACACCAGAACCGCACCGGCACTGTGCACTGGGAACCGGAGGCCCTCTACACGCTCTGCTACTTCATGCACTGTCCTCAGATGGAGTGGGAAAACCCTAATGTTGAACCTTCGAAGATCACCCTGCACAATGAGAGGTGAGAAGCATGAATGTATAAGAAGCATGAAAGTTGCTACATCACGGTAATGCAGTTAATTAAGGCAGCACAGGAAGTTATAGAGGATTCATGTAGATACATGAATCTAATATTTAATTTGTGGTGTTTGCTAATGCAGTCATCACTAGTATTATTACTAGCAATATCCGAGTTGGTTAATTGGCTGTTATTTTGATCATAGCCATGCCCTGCTTGACCATTCAGGCTACAGCTTTGTAAACTGGTAATGCACATTTTTCATTTTCAATTTTTTTTACAATTTTTACACAAATATATATGTATGTGTGTGTGTGTGTGTGTGTGTGAAAATAAAAATCATATTTTTTTATGATTAAATTTTTTTTATTTTATATTATTTTATTTTACATATTTACTCATTTTATAAATTTAATTTGCATTTATTTTACATGATGATGATTGCAACAAATTATTAATAGACATTATATACAATATAAATAAAACATTATATATATATATATATATATATACACACACACACACACACACACACAAAATAAAATTTTTATTTTTTACTTTTTAAATATTTTTGTATTACTTAATCAATTAGGCACCCCTCTTCTCTGGTAACTTGTATTGACCAGTGAAAACAGTATATTTTTCACTGATTATTATTAGCCATAAGAGATATTTGTTTAAGTGAGTCCTGAACAATACAGTGCAAAGGGGAAAAAATCAAGTCTTTTCACCTGGCACATGATTAAACAGCTGAAAAATCCCATGGTTTTTCCTCAAGTAGGGGCCCGTCCCTTGTCTGTCGACCAGAATATCATAAAGGCTTTTGCAGCCACTCAAAAACCGCATAGCAACCAGAAACAACCACATAAAACACTTTGGCAGTGTTATACAGCATCCAGTGACCCGATACATGATGGTGGCATCATTTTCTTCAGATGACATCTAGTGCACTGTTGCTTTGTGCAGTGTGTCATTGTTCTGTATGCCAATTTATGCCCAAGGGTTTTTCAATCACTGTGGGGGTTGCTTCAGACTGCATTCACACTATAAGGGCACAGGGATGCCAAGGAGAACGTGATTTAGACGTCATCTTGAATTCCCTTGTGTTGTGTTGCAGCACAATCAATATACAGTAGAACTCTTGACTCCTGTTGGAAGTAAGGAATAATTGACAACGGGCCGTTGAATTATTAGAAAAATAATGCACACCCAAGGTGGTGATGGCTATTTTTCTAATAAATCAACAGCCCGGAGTCAATTATTCTGCTTATACTACGGTTACCACACCTCAAGACATCGATCAGATGATATATTTAAAGGGATTCGTCCGGTTTTTGTACTTAAATCGCTATTGTGAGTAGAATTATTTCTTCCGCATCTCATCCAATGCCTCTTTTACTAGTTCCAAAATGTCATTTTAAAGCTGGTAATGGAGGCTTGAGCCGTTGATAGCATTCTAATGCCATTATTAATGAAGTTATTAGAAAGAGAGCGAGAGAGACAGAGACACACAGAGAAAGAGAAAGAAAGAGAGAGAGAGCTTGTGCGAATTAGGCTACCTCTGTGCGTCCCTCAACAGTGTTCTGCAGCAGCGTCTCTAAACAGCCCTGTTATTACCGCGCTAGTGAGAAATGTCATGTGTAGCCTTTAAGTTGCTACACTATATAGGCTAACTGATAAAATCGCCAGGGCGGCGCTGACAACACCTTTTTGTGCAAACTGCGTGACCGTAGTGTGCGTGTGCGAGCACGTGTGATTGCAGTAATTCCTGTGTGCTGTATAGGTACTCTATGCTAATTTCCGTTATTACAGTTAACTATGCAAAGTGATATGGAACTGTAATGCGGTCAAGTGAGCTGCCTGGAACTACGTTCGCCGTGCGTTTCCCTGAAAATAATTACACATCTCAGAACGTTCGTCAGCCAATCAGATTCAAGCATTCAACGGCCCCGTAGTATAAGAGAGCATTAATGGATTGCTATAGAGTTATGTTCAGCATTCGCTCCACATTGATATATCCATCAGGACAACTCGTCCCAGACTGTCCCACATCACTCAGGTGTGATAAAAAGCCCCCATCCAAGGACCCTGTGGGACGCCCATGCAATGCTCGACAGAATAGGTGCATGAGCAAGCTGCCTTCATCCCCAGGGACAGACAGTCTGCTCCATTTTATTCATTTCTTTCTTGGCCTCTCACAGAAGAATGAGAGAGTAGAGGAAGAAATAGAGAGTGAAAGATGAGAGAATGACAGAAAAAATAAAATAAAATAGATGTTAGGTGAGGACAGGAATAAAAATGAGTGGAGGGGTAATGAATAGAGATGGAGAAAGAAAACAAGAGATCAGAGTGAAGGAGCGTCTGGAGAGGTTCAGGGTTGTGGCTTTAGATTTCAGACTTCAGTCGAGTGGACTGTTGTTGATGTGCTCAGTGACATTTCATCAACCTTTTAACTTTCCTGCTGTAGAGGGAAAATACACCAGGGGCACGTGAACACTCATATCCACATGTAATTTTTAGCCTGTTTTGGTCCACACACTGTACCGCACAGTTTCTAACATGAAATGCACTAAATTCCTAGAAACAATTTTCCTAGATCTTAAAGACTTCTTTATTTTAAAAGAGGAACCGTTCTCAAAACGGGGATTTGGGTGGTAGCAATATTTAATAATTTTGAGATTATCAATATCTACCTTTTAACTTTTTTATATATTTATTATTTTTTTAATATTATTTAGTTTATTATTTTAGTTCTTTAGTATCAGTTATATATATATATATATATATATATATATATAACTGATACTAAATAACTAAATTAATATTGATGAATAACTTTATTTAATATTTAATAAATTAATATTTAATAAATGTAATGTTTTACAAAGCTGTCTTATTAGAAACGAATGCATAAATTTGAAACTAATAATTTTTTTTAAACTAATACATTTGAAATGTAAGTATAATTAAGTATAAAAAATTAGTTATAATAATATGTAATATTATATGCAATTTAATAAATGTTATATAATAATATATTATAAAAATATATAAAACTATTATGAATATTATGATTTTGGTGTATGTATGTATGTATGATCTTTTAATAACTTGACAAATAATATCTTAATATAATATATGTTAAATTTTATACATATAAAATGTTAATATTCTAATAAATTCTAATAATATATAATAAAATATATTAGGTATAATAAATGTTATATCATATAAATATCATATAAAACTACTATAAATATTGTGATTGTATAATATAATAACTATAAAGGTATATTCACAAATATAGTCATTCATGGGGTCTTTTACTTTCTGGTCTGGTTTGTTCTTGTAATGTGGGATGCCTGCTGAGATGTTTGACGTGATCTTTTTATTGTATTTCTCCTTAGTTCAGAGCACCATGACATTATTTCCATAGATCAATGGAATTTATCTCAGCAAAATGTTTGTGAGGACTTTTACATTTTTCAGGAGACCCTTGATAGGGCAACTCCCTTCCTCTGGTAAATAAAAAGTTGTCGAAATCTACTGTGCAACAAAAAACGTCTTCTCTTTCCAGCCAGATGTGGCTTCACTTTCAAACTCCAGACTGGAATGAGAACCACGTCCTTTTCCTCCAAACATTTCTTCGAAGGGAGGGGAGCGGAGAAGCACATTATTCAGGCAGAAGAGAAACAGAGAAGGGTTTGCGGTTTGTTTTGGCAGGCTCTCTTGCGGTGGGTAGGTGTCCGGGTGGGGGGGGGAGTGTGGATTGTGCAAAGCTAGCTGTTAGACGCAAGTCACAGGAAGCACAATTAGATGAAGATAGAGGGTTCAAGATGAAGCTTGACGGCTTTGTGCATATTTCTAGGGTCAAATGCCTGCTCCTTTTTATTTATGTCCAAGTGTATGCACTGACAACTCGAAAATGTTTTTTCTCTAATTTGGAAATTACAATTACATGCTTTGTCCCACACACTGCATGTTTTTCACATAGATGGGTGTGTAAAACAAGTTTGACACAAAAACAAGTGTAGGCGGACAAAAGCTGTGAAGATTTTTTTTTTTTTTCAAACTTGAAAGCCATAAACTGAGGCCAGTTCACACTACTGTGTATGTTTCTCATATTGTCATATTATTTAGCTGATGGCATTATTAGCATGTTGATCCATAACAACCCTGCAAAACTCGGTTAAACTGCAGTGCAGGAATGCTGGATATGCTGATCGGAATTGCTTGAAGCAAAATATTCAACATACAAAGACTTTCATGGTCATAGTCATCGTGACTCACTGCAGTTGAGTCAGCTTCCTCATATTCCTCGACCTTTGCCCTGTAAAGAATAGCTTTGAAACGTATATATTTAAAACCGGTGGTTGGTGCATTGAAAAAGTGTAATAGAAGCACTTTTGCAGCTGTATAATGATATTTTTGCATTCAGATTCATCTGTTTATCTGTAATGAGAGTGTTTTCTTGGTAATGAGCAGCCCGAGTTTCCCAACTTTATTTTTCTGACTGAAAACTTGTCATGATGGCAACAGGTCTTTTATATTCTGCCGCTCTAATTAGATGCAGCTTAGCGCTGGTAATTAGTAGCAACTGTAATCCCACCAGAGAGCTTATGATTACTTCTCTAAAGTATCCTAAAGCTGCACGCAAACAGATGTGTCCATTCAAATTGGAAATGGCAAAGGTGATTAGAAGAAACAGACATGCTAACAGACAAAGGTTTGAATACATTGGACTGAGTTTGTTTCTTATGATCTTAAAAACCTTTGATTTGAAGGCTTAGTGCTTAAATGCTAGAAATGAAGTTTGTGGGCAAAAATAAATTATGAAAACAATAACTTAATGTAAATTATGGGGTAAATATTTCTCTCTCCTGTCTCTGCAGGCCGTTTCTGGTGTTGCCTCCGCTGATGGAGTGGATCCGGGTGGCCGTGGCGCACACAGAGCACCGCCGAAGCTTCTCTGTGGACAGCGACGATGTACGACAGGCAGCCCGACTGCTGTTACATGGGGTGGACTGTGAGCCGCGGCAGCTGAAGTATGTTTGGGATGCAACGTCACTTCCATATATGCACAAACACACAGTCGCATACTATGCACGTAGAATGCCTAAATTAACAATTAGTCATTCGCTGAAGGACAGTACACACACACACAACATGTACTCATACTGCATCCTTAATGAATTAAGTGTCTTTAACTTACTGTGTGGCTTCAGTTTCCTAGTGACAGGCTCTGAAGTGCTATGTTAATGGCTTTTTACATGGTCATAGTTATTTTCTGGAGTTATTTTCATGCTGTTACCTTCACAGATGCAGGATGTCTTGGCAAACAAACAACATTTCATGTCAGGGTTTCTTTTTCCATGGAAACAAATCTTTGAAGTGAAAGCTGGCTATACTAATAATTTAATTTAATTTAATTTAATATTTTAATAATTTTTTTTATTTTAATAATTTTTTTTATTTTATATTATTTTATAATAACATTATTTTGTCATATTTATTTATAATATTTTTATAAATGTTATACGTATATATGTGTGTGATATAAATAATATATATTGTATTTGTACTTTTTTTATTATATATTCAATATATATATATATATATATATATATATATATATATACAATATATATTATATATAACAAAGATTTCAAGTAATTATTAATATACATTTATAATATTTTCATGTGTACATAATTCATATGTAACATGGAATATAAAGAATTTTTATATTTATATTTTAAAATATCACAAGTAGTATTTATATGATGTAATGTACTGTCAATTACATATTTATATAAATGACATTATAAATTATATGTAAGTGTACATACACACACACACACACATGTCCAAAAGCCTCTAAGTGCTGTCTGAAATTTTCATCTAAAATGAGCATTTTTATCAGGCTCCTATGTTTATGTTCAGTAATTTTTAGTAATGTTCAATAATTACTCTAATGGTAATGTACAGGTCCTTATTCTATGCAATTAAAGTGAAATAACTGAACATAAAGATTTCAGATAGCACTTAGAGGCTTTTGCATCTGAAGTCTTCATATATATATATATATATATATATATATATATATATAATATTATAATATTGAATAAAATATATATATAAAAACATACCTAATTACCAGCACTACACTGTATCTAATTAGTGTGGCAGAATATGACAGATCTTTTGTATATATTGTTATAAAATAAAATATAAAAACATAAAATAATTAAATTACCAACTAAATGAAAAACATAAAAAACACATAAAAAATAAAAAGTAGTATTTCTTGTTTGGAGGTGTGTAACTGGGGTCTGGGCTGTCCTTTTATTTAACAGGGTAGACGACTGCTTCTGTGCCACACGGAAACTGGACGCTGCATCCACAGAAGCTAAATTCCTGCAGGACCTGGGGTTCCGGATGCTCAACTGCGGACGAACTGACCTGGTCAAGCAAGCAGTCAACCTGCTCGGGCCAGATGGCATTAACAGTATGAGTGAACAGGTGGGCACTGATATATTTACACACACATGCACACATCCATTTGTGTGACATTCAGGCCTGACTTTACTAGATTTTTATCTTACTGAGTAGATTTATTTTTTAGATTAGGAATACTATATCTCTGACTTCTAAAAATTGTTGTCCTTCAAACTGGCATTTTGATGAAAGATCATACAGTTCCCTGTCATGGGAACTTTGAACTGCGTCCTCTAGGGGTTGCTATGGGGAACGCCTCGTCGTGACCCGTGTCTGAAGCATACATTGAAAAAACACCAACTCATTGGCCGGCGACAGCCATGACGTCACTTCCCCATAGCGACCCCTAGAGGACGCAGTGTCTCGTTCCCTACTCAGGGAACCATGGTTACATAAGTAACCTGAGACGTTTCTTTTCAGTTCTGTTTCTACAGCACCTTTTGTTTATACACTGACACTTTATGATATGGTAGCCATGTTAGTCATTTTAAATTGAATAGAATTAATTACAACTCCAACAACATAATAACAGAGTGTAATTATGAGCAGCTCCACAAAATTGTCATGAAATAATTACACATCCATTAGTATTAGTCAGCACATGCACTGTAATTACTCCCTGATGTAAATGCCGATGTAAACTGTGACTTTTCTCACATCTGTATTCCATTGTTGGCTCCTTCGTCTGTATGGTATCTGCCTCAAACCATTAAATACTTGAGCATCAATGACATTTCTGCAGCATGTCATTTAAAGAAGAAAAATGCCCTAGTGGGTTTCTTATAATATTATATGTGTGAAGAAAGATGACCCACATAGACATTTAGAGGCTAAGAAAATAAATAAAGAGTTGCATGACCTTTAAATAAGGGAAAACGCTTTAAATCTGAGCCGATCTGTGTAGGAAGAATCTAACGTGATAGCAGTCGTGACACTTGGTATTATGAATCAAATAGTGTCATCCGTATCCGGCGCTGGGTTCGTGTTATTGTCACAATCTGTCTTGAATACAGCAGCCAGTTTATGCAAAGAATGACGGTGACATGCCGACGCTGACAAAGTGGATTAAACTAACATGTAAAATTGAAGCGACACACAGGCAAAACCAGACAAACGCAGGGAATGTGATGACAAAGACAATCGTTGAGTCCAGCTGGGAATCATTGAGAGTAACTCTATCTTACTCCGAAAGAGTTGCTCCGAAATCACACTGGCAAATATGGTGCTTGTTATTTCAAGAAGAGCCTTGAGGGAAAGTACGTCTCAACTGACAAATGAATCTCCTTCTTCATGGTGAAATCTGTTTGCAGAACTGCACGCTCTTGAGTTAGTCATAGAATAAAGTGTTTATAGTGAGTTTTAAGGCACAACATGAAGCAGAGTGCTTAAACCCCTTCCCCTGTGGTAAAATCACCATAACGTAGAGGATCATGAGCCTTATTACTTTATTAAACAGTATATAAATATAATTTATTATAAAAAAAATGACTCTGAAAAGGTATTAATGGTTTATGTTGTCCAAAGATGTTAAACGCTGTAGGCTAATTGCTGACTTTGTGCTTTCATGCACTAATGCTTATGTTTGTGTTTCACTAAAGTAGATTTGATGGCCTATAGAATGAAATGTTTTCTGTTTAAAGTGCATTAATTGAGCATCATCCATAAAGATTAGTGTTCCACTCAGTTCATCAAAAGGGACACTTTAGGGTTTTAAGAGACTGTTATTTTCAGACTTTTTGCTCAATAGCCCTTAACTTGTGCTGCAGTAACAGGGCTCATACTATGGCATATGTACTGTAGGTGATAAGTGTTTTTGGTTGCTTTTTAGGGCATGACCCCTCTTATGTACTCGTGCGTTCGTGGGGATGAGGCCATGGTGCAAATGCTGCTGGACGCTGGAGCAGACATCAACAGTGAGGTCAGTATTTAATGGTAGACGTTTCTGTCTTGTAGCGTGTTGTTGCTCTGTCTCTATTAATCTTACTAACCTGTCTCTATAAAAAAAGCTAACTAATCATTCTGTCATCTTCCCGATGCTGTTTGCATGAGCTTGTGTAGAATTAAATAGTGGTCGTATATGTATGCAGGTGTGTCTACTTAGGTTCTCATGGATCTCATGAATATTTAATGAGATTACAAGCAAATACCATAATTTTAAATATATAACCTTTTTACTAGGGTTAATTATTCCATATTAATATTTCACATTACACTAATGACAATTTCAGTGAAAAATTCACTCATGCAAAATGTAATAAAAATAATTGATATAAATTGTATAAAATGTATATAAAAATGTGTGTAACCTTATGTTCTTGACCGTTTTTGTGAAATTCACTCCTGTATATGTCATGATGGGATCTTGTGCTCTTTAACCTTTTGTCGTCTTTCTCGTTTGACCCTTAGAGGACATTTTTATATGGAGTCGTTGACTTAGGCAAAGCACCAAATGCATATGCAGTGACATTACCTTGTTTTACAAATTGCTTTAAGCTCAAGAAGAGTATCAGCAAGTGGGCAGATGTGCAGTTATTTGCCTAACGTTTCCTTGTGCAAACAATTGTTTAACCTGAATCAATGTGTTCCAAAAGGTCATGTTTGCCTAGACATGAACAGATGCCTGCATAATTTACCACTGATTACAGGAGAGCTGAGTTTTGCATGCAGTACAGCTGTAAGCGTTAAAGCCAGACAAGCCTTCTTTTTTTGGTGCTTTGCACATGAGTCACTTCTCACTTACACCTCTAGCGTTTGAACTCGCTGCCAATTATTCTTCCTGCAGTCTTCGCGTTATCGCTATGAAAACCGTGAACTAGACTAAACTGTGGTCAGGATTTTGAGTAAAGCGAGGAGGGCATGTAGGAGTTGTCCAAAGGAGAGCGAACGGCAGTAAACTCTAGATTAACGTGGACTGGATGGAAAGAACAAAACAAGCACTGGCTCTTTCTTCTTCTCTTCGCTTGAATTAACAAAACAGCCAGATGGCGGAAGAACTTTCCAACTTTCCACTCACTCATTCACTCATTCCTTCCCCTTTTTTTCTTGCTCGTACTCCTGCAATTCCGCAATTGGAGCTCAGTGTGCTGGTATATGATGGCTGAATTTTTCTCTCCCTGAACTTCACCTATATGATTCCCAGGTGCCCAGCTCACTACACAAGCACCCCTCAGTTTATCCTGACACCAGGCAGGGGACTCCACTCACATTCGCCGTGTTACACGGACACGTCCCTGTCGTGCAGGTAGTGGCGCTGTCAATGATTTGATGCCTTCCACCTTTGCACTTTCCTCAGTTATTATTATGATGCCACCATCATAATAATAATGGCAAAAAAGAAACAGTTTGATGTTAGTTTTGGGCTGGATGGTGCTGCCCTGGTTCAAATGAACTTGGAAGGGTGTAGATTGGTATCAGGAATAGGAAGAATGAGGCCAGTTTATTGACTGTGCACTCTATTCTTACCCCAAAAGTGGAATAAAGTCTTACTTTGACTATAAATCTGATGACCTACTAAGGCCCACTTATTTAGCTTCTCCAAGAAAATGGAAAGGCAAGGTGATATTTCTTGGGATGCATAATTTCCCAGAAGCACACATCCACCACAGTAGGAGATAAAAAAAACTAAATCCTTCTTTCTGTAGGAATAATTTCCCATTTTCTTTTTTGAACCAGACAAACAGACCAAAACCGTGCACTTAAAGCATCAAGAGTGAAAGAAATTATGACCAGATTACCATAAAATGTTTGCTAGTTGGAGGTGGCCTAGATGATGAAAAGAGCAGGCTAGTTTAATGCAATTACAGCATTTATATTTACCGATGTCTTGGTGATATTAAAGTTAAATCCTCTGAAATGTGTTTTCTAATGATTGTACTTCTCACATTATTGAGCAGCTTCTGCTGGATGCCCCAGCAAACGTGGAGGGAGCGATTCAAGATGGAGCAGAGAACTACACAGAGACGCCTCTACAGTTGGCGTCTGCGGCAGGTACCATAAAACATCTCATCAACACAGTACAGTGACCCCAAAATGTGTCCGGACACTGAAACCACACAGAAAACGTGCAAATTTAATTGATTAAATATCAAAATGTCAAATCAAGTGGTACCTGCAAACATAGAGCTAAATAATAAGACAGATTTTAAGTCAAAGTTATTTTATTGGATGTTCTGTTTAAAGTCAGTTCCCATCAAGTTAACACAGTCTAAATTCTTTATCTTAATTTTTACACTAACTGATGTTAGTGTAAAATTGATTGACTGTAACTGAATTTTTTACACTTCATTCATTATGTTTTATTTTATTTATTGACATGATTAAGACTAGACTACAATAAAATGTTCACATTTAATTTATTTTTGTTTATTTTTATTGATTTACATGACTGAATTAATTTACCTAAATAACAAAAAGTTCACACTTTATTCATTTATTTATTTATTTTTATTGATTTATGGACATAACTATGGCAGGACTTTTTTTTTTTTTTTTGCAATATATATATATATATATATATATATTTGACTTTGACTTTGCTGTGTTTGCTAGCTTCAAAATAAATGTCACTTGGTTTGATATTTATGGTTTGATATCTAATACAGTGACATTATGCTGTGGCTTAAGTGTCCAAATACTTTATAGAACCACTGTAAATTATCTTTATGACTTGCAGCGTAAAGAAATACAAAAACTGTACCTTTACCTGGTGCAGTACCCTCTCAGGTACATATTTGTACCTTATCCACCACAAAAGGGTGCATATTAGTACCTTAAATAGTAAATGCAACTGTTTTAGCCTATACAAAGAAAGTCAACGCAGTCCAAAACAACCCTTTTCAAAACATTTTCCAGGGTCAAAATGTGCACTATTTAGGGGTTAGATAAGGCACTTTTGAGAGTACAGCCCTAGTTACATTTACATTATGAAGACTTCATGTGAGTGAAATCTTTGACGACATAATGAGTGAATATGTTTTTTGTGCATTAGATGAACTTGCTTTAGATGATTTTGTACGATACATCCAGGCCCCATTTTTAAATGGTTACATTCTGTTCCCTTTGTGCCACTAATTTTGGTAAAATGGTCCTTGCAGACTGTGGGCTGACAAACTGAAGACATTATACTTTTGTGCCCCAGTCTGGTTCCAGAACCGTAATAGTATTATTCAAAGACTGATGGGGCTGCATCGCTCTCAAGAGCCCTTTACAAACTTGCTAGTGAGCCTCAGCGACAGCAGCTTTTTTTTTTTTTTACATCCACAGTGTGAATGTGACAAGTCCACATGGTGGAATGATGTATGGAAACCAGTGCCAAATAAGATTTCATAATCCCGGCTGTGGCAGTCCTATGAATATTAATTGACCTGAGTGATATTCATTTGCATTTGCCGAGTTTATTCCAGCATAATGCCAAAAATTACCTGTCTGCCCCACTTAGCCAACAAACTCTTGAAGACTTGGGTAATTCGGGTTTCAATCAGCTGGTAATGAACACCTTTATGGTGATAAAAACAGATGGGGTGCACAAAAATTGTATCATCTCCTGCAGAGGAGGAGAATGAAGCTAAACCGATTGAGCCAAAATGTCTAGAAACAGGTTTAACCGTATGACTGTGTTCCCCTGTGACCCAACAGAAATGGCTACGGATGGGATTGTTTGAGCCTCATCGGATCCAAAACTCATCAGGCCTCATTGATTACGCCCCATTTGCTGTTTGCTGGGTCAATTACCCCCACTGTTAGCATTCGGGTTTTCCTTCTAATGTAGAAACACTTTCTCCTCATTACTCGATGTGAATGTGCACAGGACAGCCTGCTAATTTACATTAGCAAATCAATGTGGGGACGAGTTGCTAGACGTTCTGAATACTTTTTCCTGGTAAAACAAGCAACATCAACATCATGGGTTTGATTCTCTGGTTTTATATGCTATTAAAATGTGTACATTCATTTTTATGACCTGTTTAAGGTCATAAAAACACATGGTTATGATTGAATAAAATAATTGTTTCACAACACTTTATTTTTTGCACTATGATCACATGATTGACTATAACAGAATTTTCACACTTCATTAATTTTTTATTTCTTTTTATCAGTTTCTTGACATGATTATGATTGACTAAAATAACAGATTTTTTCCACACCTAATTTATATAGTTATTTTGGTAACACTTTACAATAAGGTTCATTAGTTAAACATTAGTTATTGTATTAACTAACATGAACTAACCATGAGCAATACATTTGTTACTGTATTTACTAATCTACGCTCACGTTAGTTAATAAAAATACAGATGTTCATTGTTAGTTCATGTTAGTTCACAGTGCATTAACTAAAAAATTTTATTCGTGTTTATTCGTGTGATGTAATTTATATAAATATGCTAATTATTTTGGTGCTCAAGAAACATTTGTTATTATGTTGAAAACAGTTTTAATATTATTTTTAATATTGTTGTTTTGAAAAGATTTTTTTTTTTGATGAATAGAATGTTCAAAAAACGGCTTTTATTTGAAATGTAAATCTTTTGTAACATTGTAAATGGTTGTACTGTCACTTTGTCAATTTAATGCATCCTTGCTGAAAAAAATAATAATAATTTAATCTTACTAATTCCAAACATTCGAAAGGTGGTGCTTATTTTTTTTAAAAATCTTTAAAAAGTCATAAAAGTAGTCCATAGACTTCTGACATTATGCAATATCATGTGTTAAAAAATTATCATGTTGTGCTCCATGGTAAACGTAACAGCAGGTTTGGGAAAAACATTATATAATTTGTGAGTGAACTATTCTTTTAATGAGTATGAATACCTGAGTGAGTTTGTTACATGCACTTGCTCCTGCAGGAACGTGTTCCGGAAGCTTCTGTCCCAGGTGGAAAAGGACAAGGGGGACGTAAATAAATTTTATTCGTGTTTATTCGTGTGATGTAATTTATATAAATATGCTAATTATTTTGGTGCTCAAGAAACATTTGTTATTATGTTGAAAACAGTTTTAATATTATTTTTAATATTGTTGTTTTGAAAATATTTTTTTTTTTTGATGAATAGAATGTTCAAAAAACGGCTTTTATTTGAAATGTAAATCTTTTGTAACATTGTAAATGGTTGTACTGTCACTTTGTCAATTTAATGCATCCTTGCTGAAAAAAAAAATAATAATTTAATCTTACTAATTCCAAACATTCGAAAGGTGGTGCTTATTTTAAAAAAAAATCTTTAAAAAGTCATAAAAGTAGTCCATAGACTTCTGACATTATGCAATATCATGTGTTAAAAAATTATCATGTTGTGCTCCATGGTAAACGTAACAGCAGGTTTGGGAAAAACATTATATAATTTGTGAGTGAACTATTCTTTTAATGAGTATGAATACCTGAGTGAGTTTGTTACATGCACTTGCTCCTGCAGGAACGTGTTCCGGAAGCTTCTGTCCCAGGTGGAAAAGGACAAGGGGGACGTGCTGTCTCTGGAAGAGATCCTAGCCGAGGGCTCCGAGACCATAGAGAGGAGAGTACCACAGAACGAAGCCACCCTCCGGACAGGCAAGGCCAAACTAAGGGCCCTCCGCGAGGCCATGTACCACAGTGCCGAGCACGGCCATGTGGACATTACCATAGACATCCGCAGCCTGGGTTAGTAAAAACACTGCATGACTACCACAGACATCAACCGCCTGGCTCACTTCTGACATGCAGCGATTAGTCTCAGCCTCAAACGCCATCTGATGCATATTGCACATAAAAATGACAAACGCTAGTTGAAATTTCCAATATTACGGGCTTATGCCACTTCCTGCATAAGCACACAAAGCCCGTTCTTTATCAGTCCGTTGTGATTAATACTCATGATGACACATTTTTGAGGCTGAACTAATTACTTGCCAAAGTTTACCAGGTTAGTGGCATCAAATCTTTGAAAGACACTCTTTGAAAGATGTTTGAGGCTCTTAGTAGCTAGCAAGACATGAGTATCTATCGTTTATTTTGCTTTGTTTTCTGTGAAGAAATCACTGTGCACCAGTATCACTATGCACCATATTTATCTACTTAAACTAGTTACACTAACATTCAAAAGTTTGGGGTCAGTAAAAAAAAAAAATTTTCTGAAAGAAATTAATACTTTTATTCTGCAAGGATGCATTAAATTAGTTCAAAGTGACAGTAAAGACATTTATATTGTTAAAAAAGCTTTATATTTGAAATAAATGCTGATTTTTGAACTTTTTATTTATCAAAGAATCGTGAAAAAACATGGATTTTTGAAAAATAACCAAATTAAATATTTTTGCATTTTCACGAACGTATTAAGCTGCGCAAATATTTTCAAGATTGATATCAATAAGAAATAAGCAGTAAGTCAGCATATTAGAAGGATTTCTGAAGAATCATGTGAGACTGGAGTAATGATGCTGAAAATTCATTTTTGTCATCACAGGAATAAATGACATTTTACAATAGAAAACAGTTGTTTTAAATTGCAGTTGTTTTTCCACAATATTACTGTTACAGATTTTTTTAAATACTGTGTTCTTTCAAAAACATGAAAAATTCGTACCGACCCTAGACTTTTAATGTGGTTGCAATATGCAACACTTTCTCCTTACAGAAGATTGACAGATTGATGGATGGGACAGGCTTTATATTTTGTGCATGTTGATGGACAGATCGATTCCGAAGTGTCACATACATTAACTGATACGTTGATTCCATATGCAGGCGTGCCCTGGACCCTGCACACGTGGCTGGAGTCCCTGCGAACGTGCTTCGTGCAGCAGCGGCGGCCGCTGATCCAAGGCCTGCTGAAGGACTTCAGCTGCATTAAAGAAGACGAGTACACGGAGGAGCTCATCACACACGGACTGCCACTCATGTTCCAGATCCTTCGAGCCAGCAAGGTCCATTCTCTGGGCTTTATTACAGTCTGAGCCACTTTCAGTCTTTCATTTTACTTCCTGATCATATCAGGAGACATTTATAGATTTTTAGCCACCTGTGCAAGTTTCTGTTTGTTTCTGTTTAAGTGTGAAGCCACTACACCCCCCTACATTTTTTTTTTTTAAATCTTACCCCAAAATGTTTCTATTTAGCTTTGTTTTATTTTAGTTTTAGTCATTTTGGTACTTAATTTCATGTTTCAACTTTTCTAATTGTAGTTTAAGTTTTATTTTGTTTTATTATTTTTTGTTTTATTTATTTTTTATTTTATTTTATTATTTGTACATAATTAACATCAAAGAAATATGTTAAAATACTTTCTTCTACCCCAGCTAATGTTTTCAAATATTATTAAAATAATTTATGTAAATTATACACAAATGTAATTTAAAACATTCAATTTGTATCTTATTTACTGATTTACTGATTGAGGCTTTTGGCTTAGCAGCGTGTGTTTTAGTCTGTCTTATATTACGGCATGGTTTCGTTGTCATATTACCATTTAAATTATTTCGCGGCACTTCAGAATTTAATGTCCCTCGTAAGTCTCTGCATTATTGTTATCGCTGCGTGTCAGTCCCTGACTCCGAGCGAACAGGCAATCAACGTCAGCCACACCAGTTCCAGCTTTCTCAGTAATTAACATGATAAATCCTCTAATTACAGAGCTCATCATAAGTGCCATGTTAGTATTACCGTAGGATTGAATGCATTTTACTTTTAGAAAACAGAAGGTCTAACTACAGCGTGTGTGTTTATGTGCTCTACAGAACGAAGTGATCAGCCAGCAGCTGTCAGTCATCTTTACCCAATGCTACGGGCCTTTCCCAATCCCCAAACTCACCGAGATCAAAAAGAAGCAAACGTCTCGTTTGGGTGAGTCTGACAGTTGCAGCCCCTTGTTAAGTTCATCTTCAAAAGTGACTCCAGCTCTGCCCTGCCTCTACTTACAATATTAATAATTGAATAATATCAAACAAGCAAGAACCTCAATTCAGTATATCAGCAAAACTGCTTGTGCACAACAGTTTTATAAGCAAGAAGTTAAATAGCATAACTTACTTTTTAGACACAGTATGGCCAGTAATTTGGTCTATTCTTGCTCCGATAATGAAAAATAGAGACGACCAGAGCTATCTATTCAATTCAGTTCAACATAAAAGGCCAAATCAGCTTGTGCTGCACAAGGATTCACATTTATCTGAATGAATTGGTCAAGTGCACTTGTTAAATCCATTCAAACTACAGTTTTAGAGCACACAAGGACACTTTTCAGGTAGTTTCTCTCAGGAGACATGAAAATACAATTAAAAAATATTAAATTTTGTTCAAATATAAGTTTTGGAGGAACACTAGTGCCATCTATATTTTGGTTAAGCTATTGCAGTTGTAAAACAGACATGTTTCATGCTCTCTCTTGTAATGTGTTGATGACAGCCTGTCAAACGCAAGACATGGTGGTACTGAATAATGAAGAAGCTTGTGTAATCACTGTTGTGTAATGTTGCATCTCCGACGTGGGGACTTCATCATTTGATTTGTTGCTTCCTACAGATCCACACTTTCTCAATAATAAAGAGATGTCTGACGTGACGTTTCTGGTGGAAGGAAAGCCCTTTTATGCCCATAAAGTGCTGCTCTTCACTGCCTCACCAAGGTATGTCTTCATATTGTGGAGTTTATTACACAGCAGGGGCACCAGAACTTAGGAGTCACTTTTAGCACAGATTTCAAATTTGTTGGCCCACATTAGAGGCACTTTTTATTTTAAACTATAGTTCACAGTAGTTTTAGCTGCTGATATTATTTCAAACAGCATCATTTGTGCTCATGAATTGAATGGAACAAAATTCTCACAAATCACAAGAAATTCAGAAGAGTGAACTTTATTTTTATGAAAAGAAATAGGCAATTTAAATTAAAAATTGACAGATTATATAAAAAATTATATGACAGATATTAAATCAGTTTTGTGTGTGTGTGTGTGTGTGTGTGTGTGTGTGTGTAGCCAGATTAAATGTACATATTTCAATTTTGACATCTCAAGATAATTATTAGAAACTATTAATTTAATTTAAATCATCATCTATCTATCTAGATGTAAAATTGCCATCTGAAAATAATTTCAGTTAATATTTAAATTGTATATATATAAAGAGAAAGCATACACATACACACACACACACACACACACATAT